AAAATGAAAACGATCAGAGTGAAATTGATTCAGAAGAGAAGAATCTTATAATGTCTAAGTCACCATTTCAGACATATCCAGGACTAGAAACTTTTATCTGATAAGGCATTTAATTGCCTCTCTCTCACCTGATTTGGGAGCAGCTAAGTAATTTCCTTACAGACAAGAATCCACACTACTAATAAAAAGTCACCATTAGACCTGATACTGCTGGTGGTTTGATACACTCCACCACTGCAATGTACAGTGGTGAAGAATTCATCCTCAAACTGAGAGATGGCTCTCAGTTCTGTTTTGTTCCAAGTACTGTGCAAACATGGAACATTACTGCTGTTTGCCTCAAATTTGTTCAGTATACAATAGGAAGATTTCAGTATTTGCTACTGTCATTATAAATATGCATGGTTTTAGCAGCATGAAATGTATTCCATCAAAAGCAGCTGTTTCGTGAGCAGAACACTAGAGAAGCTTAGTTTCTACTTGACTGGTATCTACTGTCCTGCACCCTTATCTGAGTATCTACAGCTTGTCACTGTCCTCTATAAACTTGTCCCAAAAGCCCTCCAACCTCCCTAACATTTCCACACCTCCTCATAACTCCTCCCTTTCACCCTGTGCCTCAACTAGCACCTTCCACATTCCCTAACCTCGCCAGCCCACAGCACTGTACGATCCCTCCCACACCTTCTCCTAACCACCCTCAGGAGAGGAGACACTACCTGCTGCAGCTGGATCCAGCATGGAAGCACCTAGGGACTAGCCAGTATGCACATGGCAATTTGCCAGTCAACAAGTGAAACAGAAGATAGCTGTTTATCTCCTCTAGCACCTTCTTCCCAGAGAAGAAAAAGTATGCACTTATTTTGGTTTCCTCTCTTCCACCCAGTCTGACCTTACTGAAACTTTAAAGAGATCTTGAAGAAACTTTGAGATGTCTATGCCACTGCCAAATTTGGCTGAAACCTACTAAAGCAGTTGAAATTGAATTGATAGAGTGATTACACAAGCTTTCTTTCCTTTGGAGAGTAGGCTAAAATCCCATTAACAGTCTTACTTATGTCATCCCGTCATTCCTATTCTTCATTTAAAAATAACAATTACATTCTACTGCATTAGCTTATGTAACCCACCCCTGAGCCAAAGTAGTTAAAACTTTCATCCTGTATTTATTAATTTATTTAGTTAGTTAGCTACTAAGTGTGTGTGCCTTTCTATACATTTGTCCATTTTAAGGTACTTGATGATATGAAAAATACAATTAAGAAGATCAGTGAAAACAAACCAAAAGCACTTCACTAATAAATATCCCCCAAAGTTTCTGGACTGGTATCACTGCAGGCAAGAACTGAACTGCTTTCTCTCTAGCAAACTGTCAGCTGTTCTCATGGTTACAGTTCTAGGAATTTGGAATGACAGGTCACAGCTATGAAAATGAGTAGATTTATTTGGCATGTTTCTATCTAGTAAATAACATTCTCCCATAAAGAGGACTAGAGGCTGCTGTACATTATCATGGTGTTTATTCTCTGTGAAAACCACTCTTTAAAGCCTCTGTCCCAACAAAGAAGGTGCTAACCAGACTTCATACTTCTTAAAACTGCTCATTGACAGAATGAAGACAAAAATACATAACTCTTATATCCTCTCCATTACTATAAAGGCACCACTGGTGTTTTCACTGCAAGATTCAGCTGTGTATATACACCTCCCAAGGGCACGAAGCAAGGCTACAAAAGTATGCTCCCCATTTAAATGCAGGAATGTTAGTTTTTGCCATAGGGTAAAATCTATTCTGTCAATTGGCTATTTTAAAAATAACCAATATTTCTTCTTTTAAGTTACTGCCAAGAGTTACAAAGCTCCAAATATGTCATTATGCAGTTTCCATTATCACAGCTTTGCACCATTGGTTTTCACAAACTCCAAGTTGAACAAACAGCACAGCAGAACAGGCTTCTCTCATACTTCCATCCCTTCACTGTTGGAAGGGTCTTCTTTCAGGAAAGCCAGGACAGCCCAATTCAAAGCCTCTGCTAATTACTGCAAAATGGCATGGATAACTTATGCAGAGAAACTGGAACACCACCCACTGAGCTGCTCTCAGAGGTGGGCCTGCCCCATGCAAACAGTCCCAGCGGAGCCAGGCGGGGACTGCACTGTCACCATCCATCGGCCCCAAGGTATTCACTGCCCCCAGCACTCCAGGGACATGCCCACGTACTGTGCTCAAGAAGAAACAAAAATTTAACATCATCATGATGTGTCAATCCATCCAACCCCAAACGCTCTGTGGAATACTTCACTGAATCACTCATCCTCTTGGAAAGTTTTTTGCCAAGTGAACTACCAAGGAGAACTTTCCTCCAAGGAATACAGCCAGAGACAGAACTCCCAAGCATACCATCCTGGGATTTACAGCCTGAGAACTCCAGGGCAGCAAGCCCTGGACACAGAGGCTCCCCAGCTTCCCATCTCACACACAGTCCTGCACAGGTAGCTTGAGAGCCCACAATATTTCAGACTCGGCTGGGTCGTGATCTCCAGATCAACAGTAGCGAGGCCTGGGAGGGCCTTCTTCAGCTTAGGTCTCAAGTTCCTGGGTCTCCAGATGGAAGCCTTGAAGCTCTGATAACAGGAACATTATCAGAACTTCCACTCCCACAGTTGAAGACCTGGGCAAGTTTCCAAGGTCCCTGGTAGGCACTGGGGAGCCTGGTAGGCTTGACAACCCAGCAGTTCTCTGAGCATTGGTCTCAGTTTAATCATAAGGCGCCAGGCTCCAAATTAACTTCCACCATTTCCAGACAAAAGTCTCAGGGAATTCCCCAATACAAGAGAAATTTTAAAATGTCAAAATTTCCCATGAATTAGGAAACAGAAACTTTGACCCACCTCTGATTCCAGTTTCCTTCAGAAAAGTCTCTATGCTTTGTGTTCTACTCTTAGAACAAGCCTTCACCTATTAAAATACACTGGAAACAATAAATATAAACAAAATGTTTCAAATTGCCTCTAAATAAAATCTTCAAAATATAAAACCATTCCATAAGTTATCCTGAAATTTGTAGTTACTTTCACTTGCATGTGCGTGCCTTGAACCCAAAGCCTTCCACTCTAAAATAAACATTCATCCTGCCTCAAGACTTACGAGTTGAAAGGATGCATCCTGTAAAGCTGAACCCCCAGAGGTTCAAAGCATAGACTCCAACTTTGGCACCGTATGAGGTCAGTTTTGCTGAGGAAATGACTGGACAGCATTGTCCAGTACCAAAAGACATCAACCACAAGAACTGTCCTGGATGCCTCCAGGTATTGGTGAGCAAGGGCAGTGCACCTGACCACAGGAGAAACAGCAGATTCCTGGGATTCGAGCTCTTGGTGGGTAATGCACCAAGGAAGAGAGGGATGAACCATGTAAGAAGTCACTGAGAAGGTAAGCCCATTTAATTTATTAGGTAGTGCCATGAAGTTCTGCTGGTTTAGAGCCCTAGGTACCAGTCCCTGCTCGGGTTTGACGACTTGCCACAGAAGGGATAATGAGATAAAGAAAATCAGCCAGAATGCAAGCTCCTGGGCACAGTTTGCCCCATGTTCCTCTACACTGCAGGAATGGAAACATAACTCAGCCTTTTAAAACATCAAGTATTTCACTTGAGTTGAGGGAATACTTACTTTACCAAGGAGGAATTAAACAGTCCTGCAGCCGCACTAAACTTTGGAAAACTGCAAAAACTTTTTCAAAAACTGAATTATTATAATACTGTCAAAGTTCTCATTTTCCCACACACCTAAGTGAACAGGATGGTCTCTCAGAGTTTAAAACATTTATAATATGGATATTTTTACTGTATCTATAAATCAGTGTTAGAGATCTTCTTCTTTTAATATTCTATTTTTTTGTAATTAAAAGGTGACTATAAAGACTTCCTAAAATAAAGTGGTAGCACTCACATGATACATGCATGTCAGCCTACAGGGAAGATACAGCCCCAATCATTTAGGTCTCAATTCTGCATTCAGTACCAATGACTTCAGAGAACCAGAAGCATAAGCTTTGACGTAGCACAGCTTCTCATCTGAAGAATCAGTTTTGCTTCAGTCTATATTCACAGAGAGTTTAACCAGCTACCACGATGCCACCTCAGAGTTCTCTTACTGCTGAAGCATCAGCACTTAACTCTTGCTGCACACATACTGCCATAGCAGGGATAATGAGTCAAATGATCCCATGGCCTTTTATTATCTTTAATTTCTGTTCTCCTGCTACTTTCACAAAATTGCATAGCATGTCTTTTAGAAAAGAAAGCAAAACAACTGATTTTTTTTTTTGTGCAAACCAGATGCTATCTCAGAATCAAAAGTACAAACTAAGTAGTATTATTACAGGTTTCTTTATACTCAAAATGACAAAATACAAAACCCTTTTTTTCCTCTTCCAAAATCAGGCTACAAGTTGATGCAAACAAAACCAATATTGTGCACAGCATTTTAGTTCCTGTACTATGTGTCCTCTAAAGTAGTAAACCCACAATTACCATGAGAAAAGTCCAGCTGGAGGTATCACCTACAAGTTGCATTACTTCTTCTTTATACCTTTTTTATCAAAGCATATGTTCTGCTTGAAAACAATTCAGCACCAATGAGTTGGCAGTAGAACAACAATTTAAGCAGCAGTGTCAATGAAGGTGGGAGGGGTAATTCACTAAAGCTACATTTTTCAGGTACAAAAGCCTGAGAAGCATGCTATATGGAGTCAGGGAAATATACATCAAAGACTATGAAAAAGCAACTAACTATATGCCTTTAAAAATACACTTCATGGATGAAAGCTGCCAAATTACAGAGGGGATTTACTGAGAAGAATGTGTTGCTGCCAGAATGGACAAAAGCATGCATTCTATCCATTCCAAGCCCCTCCCCATCTCCTGTCATGCTCACAGCAAGAAGTGGCTCAAAAATTGACAACCACAGACTCGAGGACTGAAAGAGACAAAAAATACCTGCTGGGAAATGCCTGGTAATTTTTTTTTTTGAGCATCTGACACAGGAGACTGGAAAAAAAAGAAAAAAACAACCCACTTATGATCAAAAAACATCTCCTCATATTCTTGGGACGTAAAGTACAACTCCACAGCAGAAAGAAACAGCGCACACCTGGCCGGGTTTTTGAGGAGCCCACGTGCAGAAGCGCTTTTCCAACAGGCACAGCAGCACACTGCTGCCGGCCCAGGACAGGAGTTTCACGGAGCTTTCCTGGAGTTGGGTCACGGAAACCTCACTCCAAGCGGGAGCATCTGCTGGCCCCTGAGGAGCCGGCAGGCGCCCAGCTGCCCGGCCAGGGGGCAGCGCGTCCCGGGCGAACCGCACACCCCTACCTGGCTGGTGTCCTCGCCGTGCTCCAAGTGCACGATGCCCTGGCTCCTACACTCCGTGTCGCTCAGCACGTCGTCCTCCGAGTCCTCCAGGAGGGACGAGGAGCCGGTGGAGGAGACCGAGGAGTTGGACAGCCGGCGGGACTGCAGGTGCAGCGAGCTGCCCGTCCTCAGCCCGCCGCCCTCCGGCCGCGCCGGCCGCGCCTGGGGGCTGCCCTGCGCCTCCTCGCTCTCCTCGGCGGTGACGGTGAGCCGGGGGATGACGGGCGGCAGCACCCCGTTCGGGGGGCGGCAGCCCCTCTTCGGCCGGTCGGGCAGCTGACGAGCGGCGGCGGCGGCGACGGCGGCGCAGCGAGCCTCGAAGAGGGAGCAGAGCTCCCCCACGGTCAGCCGCTTGGCCCGGCTGAGCTCCGGGCTGCTGTGCAGCCCCGCGCGGGGCTCCATGGCGGGGTCGGCGCCGGGCGCCTGCCGAGCAGCGCTCCAGGACCGGCGGCCGGAGGCGTGCATGGGGGAGCGCCGCGCCGCCGCCGCCGGGGAAACTTCTTTGTGGCTCAGTCAGTCTCCCGCGGCTGCCCGGAGCCCGGCGGAGAGGCGCATCTCCAGCCCACCCTGCCCGGGCAGCTCTGAGTCACCCGCGGCGACAGCCGGAGGCTGCTACCGTGCCCGCTGACCCGGCGCCAGGGCCATGGGGGCGCGCTGAGCCCGCCCGACCGCCCGCCCGCCGCCACCGCCCCGCTCCGCCTCGGCGCTGAGGGGAGGAGCGAATCCAATCGCATCGAGCCGAGTCGAGCCGCGCCGCGGGAACCCCTGCCCGCCCCTTCCCGCCGCCGCCGCCTCCACCATCACCATCACCGCCCTTTTGCTTTCGCTTTCCCTGCGGCGGCCCCGAGGAGCGGCCTGGGGGTGTCCCGGTGCCCGTCCGGGTGTGGCGCCCCGCGCCCGCCTTACCTCTGCCCGCCGCCCCTCGCCGGCCGCGGCTCCCGGGCACGGCGGCTGCGCAGCGCGGCGCGCCCCGGCCGCCCGCGGGCCGGAGGGCGGCGCGGCCCCACAGCCCACCCCCGGCGGGGGACGCGGGGGACGCGGCCTTTGACCCTCGCTGGGGATTTCGACCCCCTCAGGGCTGCGCGTGGCGGTGGCGGTCTGGGGTCCGTGTGTGACCATCCCCTCGGTGCGGGGGTGACACCGGGGGCCACCTCCGGGCCTCCGCGGCTGCCGTGGCGGGACCGCGGCATCCCTGGGTGGCTCGGCGCGCCCCGCGGGGGCGGGGATGTGACTGGCTGTCACCAGCCCGCGGGACCGGGTGGCGGTGCGCGAGTGACCGCGCGGTGCCGAGGGCGCTCCCCCGGCCGCGCTGGGGTCCCCACGCCTCGCTGTGGCATCCCCGGCGGGCTGCCGGCGGCGTGGGACAGCGGCCTGCGGCAGCGCCGGCCTCCCGGGAAGGCCGAACTGTCTGTCAGTCAGCGCGTTACTGCTGAGCCGTGCTCGGTCAGGTTGCCTTCAGCCGCCGGTTGCTGCGATACCTAAGCCCCCTTGAAGGAATTTCAGCGTTTGACACCCCCTGCTTTGGTACTTCTTGCCTGCTGAACTCCCACTCTTTACCTAAAATGTAACCCCTCCTGGGCTGCCGCATGTGTTGTAATTGTAGCTATTAAGGCCTTTGGAACAGGAAAGGCGTTCTACCGTAGGGTACATCAGCTGAAATGATTACTAAAATTAATAATTTTGGAACCAAATGCTAAAGTCTTCAGCTGAGTTTTTGCTCATTTATCTCATTGTTTCCTTGTACTCTCCCATCTGCCTCTCACCATCTGCTCTCTCTTGCCTGGTGCTTGAGCTGGGAGCTCCTTGCAGAAGGGGCTGTGGAGCTCCACCACTCCGAGCACAGTCCCAGCCCGGGCCACGGCTGGGACTCCTCCCTCTGCTGCTGCTATAACTGATTTGTTAACCTGTCTTGTGATTCGGTCAGATCATCTGTAAAATAACCTGATCTTTCAGGTTACCTTTGAAAAAGCCTGTTCCAAAAGGCACCACACAACATGCCTTCTGAGGTGGCTGCTGTGCTTCTCACAGGGCCCACAGCTTGTGAATGCTAAGGAGCAGACAGAAAGGCAGCTGAGAAACTTAAAAAAAAAAAACAATCGGTCATCTTTGGACACTTTTCTGAAACTACATGGTGCCTAGACAGGAATTTGGGAAGTCTGGATTTTTGGCTTAAATGGCCAAGCTTTGTGGTGGACTTAGTTTTGTGTAGAAGCTGCAGTGGGAGTTCTCCCAAGGGGTATATGAGGGGGGAGGCAGGGCTGACAGCTGCCACCAAATTATGTGAAAACACAACTGGTAAAGTGCACAGTAAAGTGGTTGGCAGTGCAACTTTTCCCCAACAGGCAATGAGAACGCCAAAGCACCTGCAGGAGGGTATTCCTTCATGGTAGACTGTAATGGATTTGCATTCTTAAAGAAGATAGTCACTGCTTTTATTATTAATTTTACAATCAGTTTCAAATTTCATGTAGCAGAAAGGCAGTCTCAAAACATGAACATTTATTAGACCTAATATATACCTAAAGTCATAACAGTTTAATCAAAAGCATTGTTTTATAACTGATGGTTTTATAAGAATACTCACAGTAATAAATTTATAGATAGAGCAGAAAATGTAGAGGGCAGTTTTAAACGGGTATTCAAGACTATACACACAGGTTGGACCCATGTAACTCTTTTATGTCACTGTGGCAGCTTCTGTCTGATAAGCAAGCTGGAAAAATATATTTATCCACAGGAGAGGGGTTACGTGTGAGCTTTCACAGGGCAGACAGGAGCCCTTCAGGAGACAGCCTGCTGCATGTGGAAGGACATTTCAGTTTCCAGTCTCTTTTAGCCGTTGCTCTGTCTGCTGATTCTGCAATTACAAGATTATGTGTGGTCTGTGATTAGGAAACATTATTTAGGAAACCTTAAGCTTGGCAACGGTTCTGGGACTACCAACTCAGTTCAGTTATAAAATATCATTTAAAAGATTTTACTTTCAACTAATGAAGATGAAAACAAAAACATGCAATACACTATCATTTTAATAAATACATGTATAAAAACTGCCCTTTTATAATATTGATTGGTTGCTTGAGTAAGGTTAGATAGGTTTAATTGACTTCATTTCTCTAGAGCATATCGCTCTAGAGAGCTACTGGTGTCTGAAGTTTGTGTAACATTTAACTCAAAATCTTTCAAAGCTACCTATAGAATAAAGATGTTCTTCAGTCAGTATCGCCACATTTCCTTGTAAGCATACAGCTGTTTTAACAAATGGAATGGTACTCTGTGTCCTGACAAAGTGCTGGTGACTTGTACTTTTCACTTGTGAAATCCTGCATTCCTGACAGGACAGGGCTGCCCGCATCCACTGGTGATGCTTGCCAAGAGCTGGCTCTGATAAGATACAGATAAATATGTCCCAGATGTACAGATGGGTGAACTGATAGACAGTACATGAGGTGACTACAGATATATAGTCAGTCGGGGGCAGGAACAGGGAGCTTCAAATTTGCTCTGTGCTACTGTAAGCACCAGATCACATTCCCACCTCCAGGGGTGAAGTGTTTTGCTTATCACCGTCATTCTGGCTCACATCGGTACCGCTGCGCACTGCCAGGGTTTCACATTTCACACACGCCTGCTACAAAAACAGCTTTCTGCCTTTATTTATATTGGCAAAAATAAAAGTCTATTTCATTCCCATGAAATCCCTTTCTAAACGTTGTTATCGTTAACATATTGCTTGTTTCTACTTCCTTTCAGTTTGTGTTCCCAGAGGGTGTCTAAGCCTTGATGATACAGAGGCAAAGATGTGATGGACATTTCTAAAAAGATTAGAAATATTTCATTAAGACAACAGTTTAAATAGGATCTAGAGGGGGGCCTTGGGTTTAACTTGGCCTGTGTAGTACATACATAATTGTTCACTGCCCACATGAGATTTCTCAGACATCTGAGAAACACCACCTTCTTCAATTCTGTGCTGAGCATGACCTCAGAATGCCTGAGAATTACTGAAGTGCTGTGATTCGCAAGTCTCTCTTGGATGCAACAAACACAAGCATTTATTAGTAGTTACCATATCTCTCTCAAGATATAGCTGGGGAGAAAAGGAGTTGGGTGTGTTTTTATGCAGAAAGACCCTTTTTCCAGAACTGGAAGAAAGGCACATGGACCAAGTGCTGGCTGTGCCTAAGGGAAGATCCCAGCTCGCCCACAGCCATTGATGCCTGAGGCAGAGTTTCCCCTCCGTGGCTGACATGAAGAGCAGGTCTCTTGCAGTGAAGCCAAGGGGGAAAGCGGTGGGTGGGCTGCCTGCCTCCCAGGAGTGCTGTCAGGAGCAGCTGTGCCAGGGGATGGTGCTCCTCTGCGCAGAGGAGGGGGAGCAGAGCAGGTGATGGCCTGACCAGCCCCGTGGAGCTGGCAGAGAGGCAGCAGCAGGGGCAGCAGGCAGCCTCAGTGGCTCACCACCAGCTCCAAAGGGGCTGGGGACCCCAGACACGTGTTTTAGCTGTTCTATCTTTGCTGCTCATTAGAAAAAGTGAGCAAGTTAGTGCATGTTACAGTCACATCCTCTTTTTGCCATACAAACCAGATCAAATGATGCAAGTGCACAGCTGCTGCATGCAAGAGGAGAATGACTCCAAACACAGGTCATATGATGTGAAAACAATTTCTGCAATAAGTGGGAGCTCTTTATTTTTGGGATTAATTTTTGTAATCTATTTGCCAAATTTCTCTAGTCACGACATTTATACATTTTTGGTATAAACTCTGGACACCTAATAAATGAAAGCCATATTAAAAAGTAAAAGGGGCGAATGTCTTTTTACCTAAGAAGAAGCAAAACGATAACTGATCTGAGTGTATGGATCAGACGAAGCTGCAGGAAAGAGACAAACTATGAAGGTCCCCTCGTGGCTGGAATTAAAATTGCATTTCCAAGTGACGCCCGCACAAAGTATCTCCGACTATTCAGCTACCTGACATACCTAAACTGGAGAGAGGGAGACAACACACCTCAGGCAGAGTCAGATGTCACCGCCCCCTTGGAAAAATGGATGCAAGTGTTTGAGATCATGAGGTGATAGCTACGGCAGTGAGAAAGGACACAAAGGATAAAGCCGCAGGGGAGGAAAGACTGTGCACAGCACCCCTACCAACAAAATGTCTGCTGATGTACAGAGCATAGGGTTACTCTATAAGAACGGGTAGGGAAATACTCTGGAAAGAAAGAACTACACAGGAGGTGAAGGTCACCACAGAGATGGAAAAACCTGGGAGAAAAAACATTTTTCTCCCACATCTGCATCATCTCATGCTCCAGGCAGTTGCTGTTCTTCATCATGAAAGAGGAAGAAAAGTGCCTTTTTTGTCATTTCCCTCTCACTACTTTTATCCCTCACATTCTTACTGCTGGCCTGGGAGCCAACATATCCCGGGAATAAAATAAAATGGGGGATAAGAAAGGGCCCCAGGTATAGTATTCCATGACAGGAAATGTGTGCTGAAAGGAGTAACCAGGTAGCAGCATCACTGGCTGCAGGTTGTTGGTTTGGCATGTGAATTGTGTGCTCCCTCCTCAAAGTTCCCATAGCTCCACAGAAGAGCATCTGAGATACTGTCATGGTTTCTGCTTATGCTTTCCCTGTTCTTGCCTTAAATAAAGGATTTGTCTTCCACAGCTGGCATTTTAGCAGAAAATCCACACAGAAGTTTTGTAAGTAAGCATAGTTGTTATTTTTGACTAGCCATTTGTAACCCCTCAGAATACTGGGATGTA